AGAAAGGGAGGGTTGGTCAAACATTGGATGTTTCTGCGTGTAGAGTAAAATTGAGTCCGCGACGTATGCGAATTTGTCAGGGAAAATTTGTTCTAACGATCCTAACGGACGTCAACCAATAATAAGCAGCCTTCTGAAATCTAACACGCCATTCTCGACGTCGTCGAATAGCTGTGGATCTTTCCCCTCTCTTTTACGTTGGGATATCGTAAGTGACGGTCACTGCTTCCCTGATTCGATCAATGAAAGTACCTGTACCAGAACGATCAGGTTATGTGACCACCCCCTACTGAGCCATATGACCACCAGATTTTCATTTGCTTTCTGGATACTGATATTTCAACTATTATTACCAATATGTATATATATATTGTAGATTGTAACTTTCAAATTATGTAGAATTTTTCTGATTCATAGTACCGACCTTTGTATATAGGTTAATGTTAACGCAAAAGGAACAACTTTTCCCAATCGATGTTCTTTTAATAGTGTTACAATCAATCAATTGTAGTCCATACCTCTCAGTCCATACCTCACTGTGAAATGAAACGAAAGTTTTTCGAATATAAAGTTATACATTTCAAACAGGTAATATTCGGAAAATTATCACAAGTGTACTTGAAACAATTTTGTTTTAAGATAAGACAATGTAGCAGGTATAGGTGTACAGCCTGTTCTAAAGAGTTCTTTTAATTGGATTATCAATGTTTCCGCTTGTGCAATACATAACTTTCATATTTAATAAATATAGAAAACAGCAGAGTTATTAACAGTTACGCGAATAGGGAATGAAAATGTTACGTTTCTAAATAGTAGGTAACAAGAAATTGCATCAAATATATTTGGTTCAATGTAAAATTTCGTTCATTCCTACAACCTGGATTATCTACTTGTATAGATGTGCTAAAGTTAATGTTATTAACAATATCTATAGCTAATTGCACTGATAATCTAAATAAAATTGGATTCTACTAAAACAAACTAGCATATTCTTATGGAGTAAAGTGAAATCCCTACACCTGTACAATATATAAAAATATCATTATTGTTTTGTTTTATGATAGCAAATGGAACGAAATATTAACTCTCGACTCTGGTAATTTCCACTATGTAGAAAATAATAAAATTATAAACAACGCATAATATTTTCATTTCGCCATATAAATGCTAATAAAAGTGGTATTATACGCGATTATTGTATCTGCATTCTACCCTTCCGCCCCCATGCACACGTAATATTAACAAAGAAATGAGACATGATTCCATTTTGAAAGGTTCAAGTAATTTCTTTTCCGTTTGAGCAAGAACAAAATTAGGAATTGTCAATTTCTCGATGAGCAAAACGTAACTAATTTTATGCATAATTTCGTTTTGTCAAATTAGAAATGGAGGATACCATTGTGATTTTGAAATTTTGGGTCCTCTGGTATTTTCATATTCTGATATTACAGGAATACAGAGCGAACTGTATATCTAAAGCTTATTACGAAAATGGTGAAATTAAACAACACATGA